TTCCTGCCACAACTTAACAACTTAGCCCCCTCGATCAAATTCACTGTGGAATTAGAGCAAGACTGTAAATTGCCATTCCTAGACTGTCTGATACACAGAATAGGTAACACTTTTAAGTTCAGTATTTATAGAAAACCAACTAATGTGTGTTCATACATTCATTATTATTCTGCCCACCATAATAAAGTCAAACAGTCAGTATTTTCAACAATGTTTTTACGTGCCTTGAGAATTTGCAGTCCGGAATTCATCGATGAGGAATACAAATATATATATAATATTGGCTCAAACCTTAAATACCCTAGATCTTTCATAGACAAATGCTTAAACATTACTAAGAAAACTTTTTATAGAACTGATCCCAAGCCCACCCATGACCATAAGAATATCTTAATATTACCATTTCACAAAAATTTCTCACACATTCCTGCACAGCTAAAAACCTGGAACGTCAATGTGGCATTTAAAAACTCATGCACTGTTAAACAAATGTTAATCAAGAACTCCCCAACAACACAATTGGTTGCATTTATAAAGTTCCTTCCAAGGAATGTAATATGTTTTACTTAGGCCAGACAGGTAAAGATCTTGCAACTAGAATTAAACAACACAAATACAGTGTTAGGGCAGGCCAGGAATCCAATGCTCTGTTTGTTCATTTGAGGGATAACAAGCATTGCATTGACTGGGATAATGCCTCCTCAATATTACCATGTAAGTCAATTGACAGTAGGAACATCATAGAATCTAGTCTTATTAAACATACCGAAGCATTCAACATGAATTTGAGTAACGGCATGTACAAGCTGGACAATTTTGTAATTAAGAAGATTTGTGATCAGGTGAGAAGGCCGGGTCACTTGACCATCTGACCTGACCACCAACCGTTGTGTGCTATTTAAAGATTAGTAGGGTCATTACCTAATACCTGACCATTGTGGACCTGGTCTCACCCTCCTCTGTATATATACACCTTGATTTGTATTACTCTCTCTAGTCTGTACTCACCCCTGAAGATGTGAATTACACGAAAGCGCTTGGAACTTCGTGTTTTCTTCTTTCCTTGTGGTTATCAGCATATACCAAGATCACGCGCACCTACAGTGATTTACTTGCATATATATATATATATATATATATATATATATATATATATATATATATATATATATATATATATATATATATATATATATATATATATATATATATATATATATATATATATATATATACTGTTTACCTGGTAATTAGCACTGAAAAATGTCAGTAAAATCTTTCAAGGGTCATTTTGGCAACTAATTACTCTGCAATCGAATCGTGGACCACATATTCATAAAGAGCAAGCTCAGGAGTACCCATACTGTGATTTTCAGCAAAATCTAATTTTTGCCCAAAAACCACCAAAATGCAAGTCTTACACCTTACAAAATTTTTGACCAAAATATACTTTTTTTCTCAGAATTGAAATTTATGGGGTTTAAATAATTAAGTACTTTCAGAATAACACACAAACCCTAAATCACACCTTGGAAATCCATAGTTGATGAGTAATTAGCATTGAAAAGTGTCAGTAAAATCTTTCAAGGGTCATTTTGGCCACTAATTACTCTGCAATCGAATCGTTGACCACATATTCATAAAGAGCAAGCACAGGAGTTCCCATACTGTGATTTTCAGCAAAATCTAATTTTTGCCCAAAAACCACCAAATATGTAAGTGTTACACCTTACAAAATTTTTGACCAAAATATACTTTTTTTTCAGAATTGAAATTTAAGGGGTTAATCTAATTAGTACTCATTAGGTCGCTCTTATGTTATCGCTGACGTCATATGACGTATCGGACTGTGATTGGGCCACGCATCCTTACCAGCCACGCATTCCCTCCGCCGCTAGCTGTGATTGGTCTAATGTAACATGACGTGCCCTGCCACCAGAAGTCGCTGACCTAGCCGGGCCAGTCTCATTGTTCTCAGTCCGCGTGTACAGTTCTCTCTTGTGCCCGCTATTCCCCTCACAATGGCTTCCGCTGGACCCCCACCACCCCAGAAAAACCTTGAATTACCTGGACCAAGCCATGATTATGTGATGGAAATCATCTAGTTGGGGGAGAAAATTAAGCTCATCCTTGACAACGACCCAGACAAGCATCGGTATGGAGAGCCTAATAACTATCTAACGAAAGTTATGGAGCTGTATATCTAGATCTATCTCGACAACATCAATGCTAGTCGTCAACGTAGTATTAAGGACTTCTTCGCCCGCAACCCACCACAACCACAGCCAGCCCAAGTCAGTGATAGTGATAGTGACAGTGAGGATATGGACTTTGAGGGGTTTGTCTGGGAGGCCCTGCAAACCTCTGCGAGTAGTGAAAGTGATTCACCGGAGGGCAACCAATCTGCCCTCTGCCTCGGAACCAGCCGCCATCCACGTGTGCCGACCCATCTTTTCTACTAACGTAAGTGTTAAAAAACCTAATATTATTGATATTTCTCTTAAATATTAATCGTGTGTGCAAACCATCATAAAATTTTTTATGATGAGGTCAAGTGGCTTGGGTGTTTGCTCCCCTCTGTAATGTGTCGGGTCTCTAACATGTTGGAACAGAAAATTATCTCTCAGAGTTTCTACAAAAAGAGTAGCAGGGTTATTCAAGTCATTTGGGGTGAACTCATTTCTCCAGTCGATGTCGCCATAGTTAAAGTCCCCCATGATAAGGAGGTGGCTAGGGTTGAGCATTGCCGAGTTGTCTATTAAGGCTCTTAAGTTCCTCTGATTTAGTTGACCACAGTTTGGGGATCTGTAGATACACCCGACAATAAGTAAGTCCCCTCCCTTTAATTTAATTTTACACCACTTGGACTCTTCAAAAACATCCTCTCCCTGTACCCTCGCCTGGCTGGCTCTAAGGTCTTGCCTAGCATAGATAACCACACCCCTCTTGCAAGTTTCTTGCATCTAGTAATCAGGTGTCCCTAAGAAAGAGAATGAGTTTCTTTTTCTTTTAAGGATATACTTTGATAGAAAATTAATATTTAACGAAAACCACGATATACATACCTCAGATTTTTTTCTTGTACATTAATTATTATTGTACACAAGAGCATAGATCCTGGGGGAAGCCTTTCCCTCTGATCAAGTTGAAGGATTTCATATATAATCATCCCCCTACTGTATTATTCATGTACTTCTGTTAAGGTCAACCTATAAAGTTAAGAGAAAGATAACATATCAACTAACCTGTTATTGGAAGTGCAGTAGAAACAAGGCGACCAGCAGTTGAAGTGGTTGCTACAGACAACATGAGATGTATTTAGTTGATGTAGCATTTTAGTCTTCAGAAAGGCTATATTGGGGTTTCTCAGCCAAGTTATACATCTGGAATGATGAAATTTCTAGCATCAATTATTATCTACAGAGATTAAGTTGAACATGCGAATGATTACTGATACCTTTGTCAATAAGTTATGCGAGGATATTCAAAAGATATATTAACAAAGGTTACAACATTAGTTTTTTGCCATTAATTGAAGTTCCAGATGAAAGTATGGGTAAAGATGTAGTATACAGCTAATACCTTTAGGACCCTTTTTGATTTTGCAAATTTTTATGCAATTGTTTTAATGATACTGAATAAAGAATGTGATAAGAGAAATGTGTGTCATTAATTTAACCTTTCCTTAGCTAATCTAAAGAAAACTAATCTAGATTTACCTAACCTTACCCAGTTTTATTTCTCATTTCTAAACACAGTATGAAAATAAAATTGTCAGAAATAAATAGGAAAATGTTACAGCAAATTTAATTGTTTTTAAAGAATGTGCTAGGTTTGTTTACTTTTTCACAGGTTAGGTAGGTTGGGTAAGGTTAGGTAGGTTAGTTAAGGTTAGGTCAGGCTCTAATAGGTTCAGTGCATTGCTAAAACAATTTCTAACTTATTATCATCCCAAATACTTCTGAAAATTTGGCACAATTCCATTAAGTCCTTCTGGTGCTTACTGTATCCTAAACATTACCATATTGTGTACTTTTGAAAATGAGCCTTGGTTCATGAGTTTTACTCACATCTTCTCTGCTTGCTTTTCAAAATATGCTTTAAACTTGTGTCACGCTTACTAAATATATCTACTTATCTTTTCTCGTCCTTTGAGAAGTAATGAAACCTCAGGTCTTTATTGTTGTTTTTATTTGAGCCACACACAACACACCGGTGAAGCCCTTTCCTTCTCACCTTGTTTGTCACCATGCCCAGCGGCCAAGAGAGTCAAAACAAACAGGCAACTCAACTTTTCCCGCCATTTAATCAGTCATCTAGTGGCCAAGAGTGCACACTATGGGGATCTAGATTAAGTAGCTTTAAGACGCGCTTCCTCCTATATACTTTCCTTGCCGGTGACACTGCAAGACTCTGGTGGCGACATCATCCAGAAGAAAAAGTTACTGGTACTAATTAGATTTCACCGCGGTGATCCTCCCAGTTATTATTATTATCAACCCTGGTGTTTTAACCAGAATCAATTAATTCTGAGCAAGACAAGTAGGAACAAAAAGATAACTTATTAAACTAAGAACTAGTATAACAGTCCTTGATGTACCTGAACTACTCCAAGGTGGCCGGTAATGACTGATTCGTCCAAATGATTGTTAATTTCTTTCCTCTCATCGCCAATATCAGCTTTCAATTCCAGCTTGCGTCTGATGTGAGAAGAGTGCTGGTTGTCCTGTGTGACCCTAGGGAACATGGCAGGTGTCCTCTAGGTGCTCCAGTCTCCCCTGTACTAACACTTGCCCATGAAGATAAAGATAGTCAGAGTCATGGCTGCATTTGGAACAGCCAGGATCTAACCATAAACAATAAAAAAGGGATGAAATTGTTATTAGAATACAGAACTGTAATTACCGTAAATATGAGAGTCCTATATTCAAACAGGGAGACAAGAGATTAAATATGAATATATATGTCAAGCAGGATGCACCTATAATTAAAACAATAAATTATAAATTATGGCTTTATTGTTGAGTAAATATTCAAACCCCTGTGAACAATTCTTGATTCGGTCATATTCTTAAAGACCATGCAGCTACAAAATTCATCAGAAATGTGAAAATAAGTTTAAGGTTACTTTACTTACAGTATATGTACATAAAATATGTAGTAAATTAAATTTGTAAACAAAACTAAAATGAAAATGCTAAAAAATTTCCAATTATCAAATAATCTGAGGCAAAATTAACTTTACCTAATACAGTACAGTATAGAGGTTATGATTTGCTTACATTTGTCATGTAAAAGAAAAAAATTCTTCTTTAACAATTAACTTTGGTTATTTACATAAAATATACGAAATTACATATTTCCCATCAAATATACAACAAAATTACTTATTTCTTATAAAACATACAACAAAATTACTTAGTATTTCTCATAAAACATACAACAAAATTACTTATTTCCAAAATTTGAATTTCAGATACAACTTTATACACAGACATCATGCTGTAAGTCATCTAGTACATCAAAGTACACTTTAGTGCTAGAGTAAGGCACTGATCAAATGTTGTTCTACCGCTCTTCATATATATTATGAGCAAAAGGACAAAGAGAATCTTGTATAAGGTTTTGTATTATTCAAAATATATTTATGAGACTGTCCCACTCTGGGTATACCACCATAAACACCACATACTTTCATCATTTCAGTACAGTATACAGTATAGGCATTTAAAATCTATTTGTAAATTTCAAACACATCACGCTAAAAATGCATAGTAACAACTGTTTATTCAACTCCTATTTGGTTTCATACAGTAAGCACTTTCACTTTACAAACCCAATGAGGAGCAGAAAACTTATCTGCATATTCTTCTCATCAGCCAACCATAGCTTTGATACATCATGCTCAAGTAATTAATTTTCATCTACAGCTCTCAATTTATATGACTGAAAACAGGGGTAATATACCCTACATAGGCAACATATTTTGATTGAAAAATCAATGAGATGACCGAAAGAATAATAATCATGATTAGGCAGAGCACATGCATTTTAAAGCTCTGTGTTAAACACCAAAATTGTCCATATACGAAGGAAGAGAGGCTTGTGCACATAACTGAAAACTACCATAAGATTTCCCTGAATTAATAAATTGGGAAGAATATTAAGAGCATGCATGATTCCAAGAACACAACAAAATTACCATTTGTGGCTTTGAGAGTTGTCAAAATTAGCCTTAGGTGAGCATCAAACTCTCATTAAGAAGTGTATTATCAAGCAAAATTTGGAAAGTTTACCTATAAGTGTACCATTATGAAATTCAGGTGAGAGGGAGATGGCACAACCATAATAAAGGAGTACTGTACACTATGAGCAAAGGCACGATTAGCTTCATAATTTAATTATTTCAGATCTAGCTGCTTAGGTGAGAAAAGCAGAATCAAGCTTTGAGCCCATGGGGTATTAAGATCCTAGTTTTGATAACATCGCACTGACACTCAATGACTTAAACCTTACAAATACAAGTATGATGGAAGTAACTACAACCATTATTAGAGGAGATCAAAAGTAAACTTCTCACACCATCACCTAAATTCATGAAACAATATTGCACATTTACAAATTCTCCTTTAATGATCTCTTGGTTCAAGAAATTAAGAAAATATAATTGCAATCCTGTAAAATAATGACATGTCTAACTGAATATATACATTGTACATAGTAAATGGTTGGAATGCATTTCTGATGAATTTTAGTACTTATAATGTAATGCAGTAAAAGAGACAAGAGTTAAATTAGTTATTATAAGCACAAAGAAATGTTGCCAAAGTAAAAATGCTGAGTTACAATATACTGCTTTACAATATTTTCTAACATATAACTAAATACATGTGGTATGAATTTTTTTTAACAAGCATTAGAAATATCAAGTGAAGAGTTGAAAATTTTACAAAGATGCCAATAATAACAATGCACAGCCTGTACAAAAATATATGCTGACAAAATACACTAAAACTGAACATTATAATACAGTACTGCACTAGAGTCTGCTTTTCACTGTACAGTCTACCTATTAACTTAACTGTAGGTCTCAAGATGATACACCATAATATCTGACAGTTTGTCTGTTCCCTCCTGTCTGCCTCAGAATTTTCTTCTGGCCTTGCCATTGTCTCATTCTCTTGATTGTGCTTTATTCATTTCTCTACCTATTCCAGCCTTCTATTTTCACTATTCCTTTGGTATTTTTTTAATTGTACAGTATAGCAGAGAATGATCAGAACATTATGATACTGTACTTTTATTTATTATAGGGCCTTCCTGTCTCTTTTATGTTTATTAGTATATGTAATAGTTTTAGAAACCATATTTTCTCTATTTGAAAACTGGTGTTAGTAAATACTATTGTTTGCATATTCTCCTTACATTTCCATGCAATATAAATTTATAGCTTTAAATGTTACTCAAATAACCCCCCATTCAACAATGCCTTCCACGCAACAAAACTTCTCTTACAAAAGCAAATACTGTACAGGTACATCAATATGTATGGCCAAGCAAGTGTTCTTAACAAAAAATAAAACCCGAGGGTCATAAAATTTTTAATATGTCCATACACAACCCATTCTGAGAGAAGGAAAGAGTAAAAAAATAAATGAATGACCAAGTAAGTGGGCAAACATGTGAATATATATGAGCACCTGTGATTGTTTGACACACACGAATAAAGTATATAGGAAAAGTATGTTTATGATATTTAAGAAATAAATGTTTCTCTGCATCCTTCATAAGTGCCATTTACCATATACAGTACAGCATACCACATTCAGATTTTCCCGTAACTTCAATCATCATAAAACTAATATTTCCAACAATAAATTAGGGGGTACATTTAAAAGTGAAACACTTGGAATTTAACACTTTGCCAATAATAACAATAATTTATAAATGTATAATGTACAGTACAACATTCTTCTCTAAGAGTGAGAAGAATGGCATATACTGTACTGTAATACTGTATACAGTTGAAAAGACAATGCTGTACTGTATACAGAATAATTAAAGACAATTGTACAGTACTGAGGTATTACACTTTTAAAAACAGTAATGGTAAGCACTGCCTTTGAAATGCATTTATCTTTACTTAAATTATGAACAATACCAAATAATATTAATCTAGGTCTCCTGGGTTTGGGTAAAAAGCATAATTGCAAATTATCTATTACATTTTTTTTTGTGATCCTTAAACCTCAAGAAGCTTTAGAAAAAGATGGTTTTAAGGATTTACATTACTGTACTGTACAAGTGGTAATTACAGCATCACAGCAGAATTCACAATTTAAAAGTATTTAATTACCGGGTAGTTGTACAGAACCGTGAGAGCACAAATATAACTGCAGTGCTTATCTTCTTTGCATAAATAACATTTAAATAAACTCACCGCTTCCAGTTATTAAATAAATACCTAAAAAATTTTCTAAACATCAACCGTGCTTAATAATGATACCAGGCTGGTGACATGCAAAACTTAACCCAAAACATTTTAAGGAATAAAAAAAAAAAAAAAAATTAACTGCATGGCACTTCACTCTTTAAGATAAATTAAACTTAAATTACTTTCAATTCTGGATTAAAAAAAACCCTGTTCATCCCAAAAATTAGGTAACCCCAAAAAATCTTAAGTGTTCAAAGTCCAAATTAGCTAATCTTGTGCATAAACCCTATATACTGTACTGTACTGAACTGTAATGTGACTTCATCAGTATTATGCCATCAACATGAGGCAATATTTTATTAAACTTTACACCCATGCACTGAAAGTTCCCAGTTTCATGACCTGCAAATCAATGTCCCACTTCTAACAATAAATTACTATATACAGTACACAAATTCAACCCCTTAATGTGCTCAGTGTTGAATATGATGATTCTATAATGATATATGTTGGAAATAAGTTATCTCTATTTTAAGTTAAAAATTATGTAATTATGTAAAAAGAGAGAACAAAAAAGTTCTGTGCAGTATTTACAGTAATTGTCCAGTGTCCTTGTGAGGTGGCATATGGAACCAAGTCTCACAGGCAATATTGTCCTCCTACAAATTTAATATTTTGTTATTCACACATAATATTGTCTCTAGTTTAAACTGTGGCACATGTTACAATAATTTTGATATTTACTTATACAGTGCACATACACTATATACACATTCAGTATTTTCACAAATAAAATTTCTTTGAAACAAACAGCAGCAATGGAATGTGGAGGAGGTACACACTCAGTGAGTGAGGAGGAGTACATATGTTTTACTATTATACACTTATATAAATTCACTCACTTTTTGGTATAGCATAATATTTATTCACCTTATACAAGAACATCCACTTAACACCACATTCTCAGAAAACATGAGAAGACAAAAATTTTCTCCATATCTGAAACAATACTAACTGCTTTCTGACCTCTCTTGAACTCCCTAACAATAGGCCTGGATTGCCAACTATTATTTGTCATTTTCATAAACTTCCAAAACACCAGCAATTTGTGGGAAAATTGGAATTATTGCTCCATACATAAATGGGGATGGCACTAGCCATCACTTGGGTAGTCCATGTATATAATGTATAGGAATGAAAGTTTTAAGGGTTAAATAAGTTAAAAAATTAGCATCCATCTACTGAATCTAATTCTATCATATTATCATTTGACTACTGAAACAGAATATTTGGCGAAGATAATTTTTTTTAGAGGGAACTGTAAGGCTTTCATGTTTGGTAGTGAAAAATTATAAGGCTAATACTGTACTGTATACAGAAAACACCAGCTTCTTGACCCAGCAATGAAACAAGAGTTTTAAATACAATTTTTTTTTATTCTCTATCCACTGGTGATAACTGTTTCTTGTGGAAGTGCTAAATTTTTTAATTGTGGCTCCATTCTCCTTCAATATTAATACCCCACAAAGAGGGCAAGGCTATGAAGAAGAGGGGAAAATATGGGTAACAGCACATAAAAAATGGGTTGTAATGCTCTCGGCTAGGCTTGGTTAGATTAGTGTTTGTAACACTATTGCAACTTTCTGTGGTGAGGCTGGGCCTTTGGAAAAAAGCTGCCAGCTGCTGAGAACAGTGAAATACACACTTTAACTCTAAAAGTTTATAAAAACGAGGTAAAATGTTTAGTTTTACATGCTTTAATCCCACATATTCCCTCTTATTCAAAAGTCCTATCCACTGTGTAGAGTACTGTACAATATTATTATTGAAGGAGAAAGGGGTCATAATTAAAAAATGAAACATTTGCACAAGAAATTGTATCACCAGTGGAAAGAGATTGAAAAACACCTCTAGTAAAACCACATCTCATTGCTGGGTCAAGGAACTAATATATACTGTATGTTGGGCTCAGAAACCGAAAAGCGACCACAACAAGTTGTGGTTGTTTTCAAAATAACCAGAAAGTGAAATTTGGCATTTGGAGTTTACCATAAACTAACCCATTCCAAACTAACCTAGCCTAACCCAATCCAAACTAACCTATAGCAAAATCTCGCTTCTGGTTATTTTCCAAACAACCACAATGTGTTGTGGTCGCTTTTCGGTTTCTGAGCCCTATATATATTATACAGTATACAGTATATAAAAAAAAGTATGACAGTTTCTGAGAAGAGAAAAAAGGAAATTAAAGCATGGCAGAGTAGAATTAAGGAATAAATTTAAGTATAAATGAAAAAACAAAAAACATTGCAAAAACAGTGCATGCAGAATACTGAACACAACATTATGAATAGGAACATAGGGAAACAAAGCCAGCATTTGCTGTTCAATACACAAGACATGCTGTCTAACTCTATTTCATTTAAAAATTCAAGCTTATCCTTTTGAGAAAATGGTTTACTATAATCCAGAGCAGCATGTCACTATTTCTATAGTGTATTGAACTTGAAATGGCAGCCAAAAATAATAACACACATGCACACACACATGGAACAGTTATCAACAAAATTTTATTTGGTGTATGTTAACATTCGTGTTACCAGAATGTTCTGGCAACCAGAAGATAAAATAAAATTTTACTATGATATATCTGCACTATGTAAGTAACAGTACATGGAGAGGGCCATATGAGTGACTACATACAGTATATGAGAGAATATTGGTTGTAATATATAAATGGTCGATTCATAAAAAGTTTAAAGTGATGTACAGTCAGGGTCAACAGTTTGCTCCCTCCCAAAATGAGGTAGTATTGACCCCAAGTGAGATAAAACAGCACACCTGCACCAGATGACAATAAGGCTAAGTCAGTTTGAAGACTCATTCCCATGACCCACTTTAACCACAGGGAGCAAACCTTTGTCCACGCCTGTACAGTACTAGGTGTATCCAATACATTTTGCAAAAAATTATTTTGCTAACAGCAATGTTGAATTTTGAGAAGATAGGTACTGTACACAGTTCGTTTATTAAAGAAAACCTCATCACACCACTATCATTAATAGCAGAGATTCGGAAAGAAAGTTATATAAATAATGGTCAGATTAATTTAAACCTTAAAACTAAAAACATAGAGTACATTAATATATGTATTTCTAACCCCAGCACCTCTCATCCAAACAACTTTTTAAAAACTTGATTAGATGTTACTGTAACTCCACCAACTTTCTTTGGAAACTCTACACTGTACTTTGAAGATTGTTCTACCAGAAAAGAGGAAATGGACAGGATCCAAATATGAATGTTAGAATTTGTTTTATGAATTGTCTTCACAGCATGTTTTCATCCTTCATTCTTTTCAAGCTCTATCACATAAATTACCGTCATCCAAAATAAGACTGCCAAAAATTATTATCTACTACAGGTGGGTATTATGAAAAAGATTAACTTTATATGTTTTTGTCCACTAATTAGTTTAAAAATAAATTGTACTTAAAAAGCTGAATGCCTTGAAGTGTCACAAAATATTGTATCTTACAAAATTACAAGCTAAGAAATATGCCTTTCAGTTATATACAGAATGAAATTGCCACTTTTTCTAAATATTTTGATAATGCTGACAAGTGAAAAAAAAAATATGAATACAGAAATTTGATGATGATGGTAAAGATGAATTATCACTCCCTAGTGCATCACCAATGTTACCAATCTTTATAAGTTTTGTATATAAACAAACCAGCGGCTACTGATCCAAACACACAGAATACAAATACAGCAGTCCGGAACATGATACTTGCTCCAGAGTTCAGCAGAACAATCTGTCAAATAAATATATCTATAGTAGAAAAAAAAAATGTATTAATCCAGAAAACCCATTTAATGTAGTAGTATTTCAGTCCATAGGTTGAGAGTTCAAGTAAACCCTTAGTCACAAGAAGATGGGTCTAATTCAATTATTAGTTACACTTTACAGTTATAATTAACTCTCTATTTAAGGACAAAAGCAAACAGCTATGACATCACATCAGGACATACGATGTGCCAAACTCTTTTTGTTCATACATACTGTATGAGTAACCAGAGTTGTAAAGTAATGAAATAAATTTACTTGAGTATTATACACAATTAACATTTTTGGGTACAGGTATTTGGGGGGTCAAAAACTTAATTTTGCTCAAACTCTCAGTATAGGTCGTCCTCTGATTAAGGATATACGTAACTTTCTCCATATATTTCCCCTCTATTACATGTAAACACAATCGTTCATAAAAAATGTGCAAAAAATAAAAATAATTATCATAAGGTCAAAATCATAGAGGGATTGAAATTCATGTGAGTGGGAGCTGTCACAAGGGAGCAAGTGAGGGAGGAAACAGCTCGTGCTATTGACAAGACTGCCAATTGGTAACGCAATATTTTTTCTTTTCTTCTATTTATTACCTGTATTATTATTATTTTTATGTATTCCTCATATTTACTGGTACAGCATCTATCATTACTATGTACAAAGAATAGCTGATAAAGGGTGTCTGATATGGGGCTGACTCTGCATCCTGAATATAAGCTTTTATTGTGGGAAATCTTAATCATGAGATGATACACTGGGTGAATTTTCTTCCCTTAGCATGACCACCTCTAGCCTGGTTGGCCATTAGGTAAATAATGTAAAATTGACTACAGCATAGTTCTGTACAGTATATGTATAAAGTGCTAGAATACTGATCTTTTCTTAATCCACTTATTGATTTTTCTCCAACTAACAGAAAAAAAAATGGTACAAAAACAATCTTTGCAGAATTAATTTATTGGTAAAGGATTGATCTTGAAATCCCATTTTGTGATCAAACCCAGGGTTAAGATTGCACATGAATTACACACACCAAGTCTACCCAGGAGACCCCAAAACCCACATTTCTGTCACACAAGTCCCTAAAATTTTTTTTTTATGAAAGTCCCCACTTAAGGGAAAAGATAATGAATCATGGAATCACATTAACTGTGCACTTCCCCCTTTAGATGTTGCACACTTAGTCATATAACATGGAAAAACACTTGCTGCTGCAAATCCAAACCCTATTCACCACTCTCCCATGGTACGACACCACCTACTACCAACCTAATCCATTTTTGGCCATTTGTCACTCAAAATTGTTAAGGAAAGTTACTCAGCAGAAAATCTGGATTACTAAGCTATCTGGCACTGGTGACAGTAGTCTGTCCTTACTGGTTAGCAGGTTGAACCCTGTTTTCTGAGGCACCAAATAAACACCGCTTTAGGAAATAGAGACAGAATTTCCACGTCCCACCAGAAACAGGAAGAATTGACTGGAAACATGTGCTCAGCATGAACAGGTAGCTGGAATTAAAGGGTTATGCCTCCAGGCAGGAAGTGCATGGCTAGTGTAATGACTCTAAGACTTAATGCTAAGTAAGATCTGTTGTGTCTAAAGATCCTTTTAAGGCAGCATCACACTTGCACTTTTGTGCATCAACTCTCCCATTTTTTGTCATTTTTCCATGAGTTGTCATATTTCCCAGATTGTATCACTCAGATGAAACACAGCATTTGCACCTGATTGGCTTGCACTAATTTCCATGGTCTAGTCAAGATCCATGTTCAATGAGGATAGTTATATAAAATAAAGCATCGAGTCACAATATTACTAAATTTAATTACAAAATTACTTCGTAATACATTTTTAATGAATTGCATAAGTGTACATTTAATTGATGTTGATATTCTGTAATACAGCTGTTATGTTAGTTTACATTAGGAGTGCCTGGGTCCAACTGTGTGTGTGTGTGTGTGTGTGACAGGGCACGCTCAGAAAAATGACAATCCTTAGGAAAATTTATGCAGGAAAATGATGCAAAAATTGCTATTGTGACACCACTTTTAGGGACATGGTTGGAAACGGAATTGTAACGAATCGATGAATTAGACCCATCCCCCAATGTTTCTGGTCTCCTGAGTTAAAATGTGCAAAATTGGTGAGCAATTCATAAGTCACCTAAATGAAGGGAAGCTGGCCATAACATAAGAATTCTAACATTAGCATGATAATCTGGAGTTACTTACCCAACCACCATTGTCTTGTACCCATTTGCAAATATTGTCAACCAAATACTTGAGTGACCACTGCATCAATAACTGTAGAAACTCCTGTCCTTGTAGTCGTACCTGATGGACAGCAACATCACCCACAAAGGTAAACAGCGCAACAATTCGCTCCCGAGTTATCCCATCCTGAAATGATCAAACTCTTAAAACATGTGGATCTGTTAGTTCTGCACTGGTGATGCAACATAACCACTGAGTATAAAGATGAATGGAGGAGTAATTTGCTTAATAAAGTAGTGTATTAACCCTCTCACGTAGGCAATAAATTTTTTAATTTCCAACAAACGTCACATGGGACCACTCACATGAGGTCTGGTCATCTTCGTTCTATGGCCAATTTATCCCACAATAACTTTTTTGGGGCCTGATTTATACATCACCATTTTTTTATTGTTTCGGCCTTAACATAAGCAGAAAAAAAGTAAACAAGAACAACTCACTGTATATTTTTCCACTCCAAACAAAGAAAACAAATTATTTGTGTTCCCAACATCATATGTTAGATATTTTCTAACACACCTACCTAGGTACAGGAATACCTTCCTATTCACAACCCAGCTCACCCACCATTGATGTTTCAACACTCCTATTCGATATTCACAAAACATACCCCACTTATTTGCGAAGAAAAATTATGGTATACTTCAGTAATATTTCAAGTCACACCGACTAGTTGCAGCTCCCATATTCCGCTGTAAGGCCCGCTTACGAGTGAAAATTCATGCGCGGGAGACACTCACCCCAGGCCTGTACCTGTACTTCCAAACTGCAGCGTGAAGAAAATGCCGAGCACTCTAGAATTCATCATATGACAATGGTAAATGCTTGTTTAAATGTTCACACAGGTCCTTATGAGCACCTGTCAGTTACCTGGCATCATTATAAGTACAGTACAGTACTTGGCATCATTAATAGGAACCTATAATTTCCTTTATGTCATTCTGAACACCAGTGAGTTTCTTGGGATTATTTTGAGGGCCTGAGTTGTTTGGCATTATTATCATCACCTGTGACTCATTCAAGGGTCATTCTGAGCAACTGTGACTCACTTGAAATCACTGTTAACACCTTTTAGTCACTTGGTGTAATATTAGGACCTGCGAGTCACTTGGTATCATTATAAGCACCCCAGTTATTTGGTGTCAATGTGAGGTACTCTACCCATGAGTCACTTGATGTTATTATGAACACATGTGAGTCACTTGGTGCCATTATGAGCACCTTTAAGTCACTTGATGCTATTATGAGCACCTGTGATTCACTTGGCAGCATTATATACACCTGTGTGTCACTTGGCAGCATTATATACACCTGTGTCACTTGGCAGCATTATATACACCTGTGTCACTTGGCAGCATTATATACACCTGTATGTCACTTGGCAGCATTATATACACCTGTGTGTCACTTGTCAGCATTATATACACCTGTGTGTCACTTGGTAGCATTATATACATCTGTGTGTCACTTGGCAGCATTATATACACCTGTGTGTCACTTCCCACTTCTTAACGCCCAACAATTCCTAATATTTTATGTTTTACCTCTAAGTTTGAAGCCTGGTAAATAAAACCATTACCCATTGGTTTATGGGGATGTCACAGCAAATAAAGTTAAAGGATGGAATGTTTTGTTCTTATTCCCCACTACTCTAGAGCCAATGAATAAATGCTAAGAAAAGAAACCAAAAAGATTTTGAAACACAATCTTACAGTATATGATTATTTGTTACCTACTTCAGCCATGGTTTACACTGAATGAAAAATAAACTTACTTTAAAGAGTTCAGAGCAAAGAAGTAGAAAATTATTCATAGTCATGGTCTTCATGTTTACTGTTTGAGCCAGGCACAATACTCTCTTCCTTTCATCAGTTTTAGCAAACACGTCTGCCATCAACCGCAATTCCTTGCCAGCTCTAAGGTAGTCAGGCATTCTGAAATTAGAAGAAATTTACAGTATATTATAGTTTTATCTATAAAGCAATGGGCCTCATATGTTTTTTTATGTTCCATTCAGGAAATTTACAAACACTGGAGTCATCTTAGTATTTTACAGACTATAGGTTCATGTTAGAGCAAAATGTATATCTTTATAAGTGAATAATGACAAATAGGAATAGACTTTCTGCATACATATTTTGAATGTTAACAGAGACTCCAAAAATTTTGACACAGGAGGGCCTCTCTAGGTTGGACTTGGGTTGTGTACAGTATCACCCAGACCTAGGCATAGCAGATTCAGACCCCCTAAAACAAAAAATTACAATACGTACGGAAAACCTGCATGTGGAAATGGAAGCCTCTTCTTGTCCCCCAAAAGTTAAAGAATAAGCAATAAGATCATACAGGTAACACATTACCAAAGGTCAATCAGTGGCCCACACTGCTTCTCAACCCAACTGTCAGAAATTTTTTTTAAATCTATCAGTGCACACCAAATTATGTTCAGAGTCCAGTCATCTTAGCTACACTAGCACCTGAATTTTGATTTTTTTTAACTTAACCTTTTTTCTTTTCATCTATATAATTGAGGCATTGCAGATATTAGAGATGACCTTGTAAAAAACGTGTTTTGAGAAAATGAGCCTCAAAGTTTTTCTAACAAATGACGATAATTGAGCCGAATATTTGTTAATTTTCATGGGGCTTATACCATATTGTTTGGAAATGTGTCTACCTTATTGTGAGAATATACCAACATGTTTGAGAAGATGGAAGGTCCAGCTGCTTTCCCAGGTCATCACTGGTATGTGCATGTTCACCCAACATATACCCCTTGAAATGAGAGTAAGTTTCCAATACTGACGATGAACTTGCACCTTGGGACATAGCCCATTTTTTTGACAGATTCAGAAGAATTGATATTAATAAAGAATGGTCATTTGCATTCATGTCGAGGTCGTCATTAATATCCGCAATGCTTCATATGCACTTTGCGAACTGCATTTATCCATTCACAATCTTACACAGATCACTTTGAAGAAATGGTAAAATACACCTGATAAAGTGGTAAGAAAGCAGGAGTGTGAAGGGTAGGGGTGATGCAGAAGGTTGGTGTAGATGGTCAGGGGTAAGGTGTGGGAGGGAGCTGTAGTCCAACTACTGGATGGGAAAATGCTGAGTGTTCATGGTTTTTACCATCGTACAGGGTCTTATAACTTACTCCTTTTTGTTACACAAGAATTGTTAGGTACTTCTTGCAAACTGTGCCTTACAAAAGGTATTTGGCAATGTGATTTCATGAAAGACATTGAAATATCTCTTTTCCTTACATTTTCTTTGATTTCTAAGAATGTTTTTCATATCTACAGTATATTCCAAACAAGTGAACAGATTTGTTGTAACTTATTAAAGTTTCTAAACTGTCAATCGGGATACAACTAAAAAATAATAATTCTAACCTTTGTTGTTTGTTAAAAGATTCAGGTACATCCAAATGGTTGCTCTGCAAGGCATCATAAGTAAAGTTTATCAACAGATGCTCTGCACCCTGTGCAAGGTCTTCACAGGGTGGTGGTGGTTGAGGTCCAAAACCTCCACCCCTTAAATTTAGTGGGTGCCATCTACTTCGAGACTGTGCTGAGGCCAACTCTCTTTGTTGACAGTTGTATGGATGATCAAAGTGTTCATTCCTATTACTGTTAAGATTAGGTAACCTATCTGAACCTAGAAAAGAAGTTAGTTTTAGTAATTATATATTTGTTTTATTAAAGATCAACAAAATATTTTTTTGTATACCTGTATATATATATTTTTAAGAAACATAGGTAATCTAACCTTTAAAAATCTAAGTCATGGAAGGTGAGTACAGTAACGGTACAGTACAGATTTCACTTCAAAAATCCAAAATGCTTGGGATCAGACCATTTTAAATAGCAATTTCATTATAAAAACCCTAATATTTGACTAAACACCAAATACAATATTACAAGTACAGTACTGTATGTGATAATTATTTACACATACCTGTACTGTACTAAAATATATAACTGAAATTAAAGTAACATAATAAATAAGGTGAATAATAATACAAAAACAAGCACAGTACAGTTATTCATCTATGTACAGCTTCCTTCACTTCCAACTGGGCACCCAGTCACCCACCCTCCCCCCCTCCCTCATTAGTGAATGCTTCAGATCCACGAGTCGATACTCCCGGGGTTCACACCGCACGGAGAGGGAGGATTGACAACGCTGACTGTACCAGTTGGAAGTGGAGGAAGCTATAACTATAATTATAGATTTGGAAGTGTCAGGCTGTGGAGGCTTCCGCATACTTAAAGAGTAGTGCCTGCACTTTGTGCCCTGCTTAGAGCATACACCAGTACAGTATTTGAAGACATATTTGGGATTTAGTGAGGACACTATAATACAGGTACCATAAATACATACTCATTAAAGATAGCTTTGTTTATTTACCTCTGCAGTCAGCTGAGTGTGCTACAAGGCCATTGCTTGGTGGCTCAACAAACTAGCACAAGTGAATTAAGTTTAAAATACTCTAGTTAAAAATGCTGCCACTCAAGTGTTTTTTCCTTCAGATTTTCTAAGTTTTTGAATAATTTATGTTCAAATTTTGTTAAGCCCAACCTGTATCATTGCGTGATCAGCTCACGCACAATGCAAATTTAATCAGTTTCAAACCTCAGAAAGATCAATATGAAAAATAGTAAATTATATGCTTACCTGAGGAGGAATTGAGATCTGGTAAAGGTGGGTAATTATAAGTATCTTCATAATCATAGGAAGTAGCACCAGAATAAGTACGATCTTCTGATAAGTTTCTACGATGTGAGAGGTTACTGTTTCCAATTCTTCTCCTGAAGGTGTTTTCATAGGTCACATAAGCACGATCCGGTTCATCCCCCTCATTCTGCTGTCTTCTAACTCGAGGTCTGACGGACTGGTCTGGCAAAACCTGGTGATGGTTAAATTCATGATGGTAATCTGCATAGCGGTCATACTGCTGGTCATTGCTGTTCTCATCCACATTATTGTTTTCACTATCTTGCATTGCACGTTCATTAAGCTCCTCAACAGAGATGTTGGCACTCCGGTGATATGGATGAGGTGGTGAGGTCGAAAGAGAGTTTCCTGGAGAGGATAGTGTGGGAGACAGGGAAGGGATAGGGGATGATAGTGAGAAATGTGAAGATGGTAGGGATGGTGGTGGTGAGGGAAGCTGGTGATCTACAGATGATGAGAGTTGAGGAGGAATGTGCTCTTGACTACTCGCACTAGACACGGTCTCCTCCACATTTACTCTACAATCTTCTCTTTCATCAGGTGTGCCAGTTTCTGGTGTTGCTTCAGATCTGGCCCCAGGCTGTGGCACCTCAGGAGTTTGAATAGTTTCACCTACATCTTGTTGAGATGACCACTGGACACCCCCCTCTCCTTGTGGAGGATCTATGAAGTCGTTGCCCATTTAAATCTGTAAAATGCATACAGATTACAATTAAAACTATACAGTACAGTATTAATACAGAAATACCCCTTCCATATTTCTAAGAAAATTCAACAAAGCAGGTAGTACTGTAAATCTGTATGATCACCTTCAGTCTATAAGGAACAACTCTGCTAAGTTAGAGGAAAAGTTTCAGGAAAATATAGAAACTGATTACATAAACTAAAGACCCTAATGTGTGATAAACAAGGACAGAGGAAGGATCACTGTAACCCAGTACGTACTGTATAGCCTCCTGCTGACATTCATTGGTAGAAACATAAAAAGATATATGTGCTGTAATTTATATAATGAAAAAAATCATCACTCTCAACTTGGGAGTTCCAAATACAGTGAGTACCAGTAACGTATACAAATTTGATATGAGAAACTCAAACTTGGTTGATTGATTGGGCTAAATATCTTGTGTCGTAGCCTGAGAAACTCAAAGCACAGATATTTTTCTTTCAACTATAAAAAAGTATCCATCTGTCCATGTATTGAAAACTTTATACTTTTCAGGAGAACTGTCCCTGAATATTAACAACAAAATATCTCAGTCTATGCAGACGTATTCCACTAGTTAGTTTTTGTCATTTAACAAAACTTTGATTTCCTTCAACATCTAGAGCTACTCCCATTGATGAAAAAAATAAATAAAAAATTATTTCAGAAATACTTCAAGGAGCCATGAGATGCTATAACAAGCTATTAATGAACTGCAGTTGACCCTCCTACAACACGTTCGTGTAATACAGTACTGTACATGGTTTTATCTTTATAACATTTAGTTTTCACACCCACCATGGTCAATAAAGGGGGGAGGGTCTTTTTTTGTAGGAGCAGTATTTCATATCAAGTGTCTTTGTGTGCTTCATATTAATAATACCTGAATGCCTCCCTCCCCCAAATTTGTGTACAATTTTCCCACGGAACTACTGTACCTCCTCATAATATGTTGTAGGTGGAAAAAAATTAACAAAATCAAACAACTCCTTCTGGTGGTAGCAGTGTTCTCAGACATTACCCTGTACTTTTCCATGATGTAACCAGTCTAGCAACAAGATGGTAATATAAATGAATCTTTAGGCCAACAACTAAAACAATGGCTGGTTATACAGTTGCATACAGTACAGGCAGTCCTTCGGTTACATAACACTCTACATGAAGGTACACAACTACAAGCTTGCCTAGTTATCACGCAGAATGAATATAAGGAAATACTTTTTCACACATGAGCGTCTACGTCGAATAAACCTCTACTCTGTAATGGGCGTCCTCTCCCTTTTGACCTGATCACTCGTTATCGCATTTTCCATGGCCTTTCACCTTTACATCCCACTGACTTATTTACCTTGGTCCCCAATCTTGGTACCAGAGGATACTGTCACAAAATTCAGGCTCAACATACTAACATTGATATCAGAAGATTTTTCTCAAGCAAGGTTGTAGAGCCCTGGAATGCACTTCCCGAATCCACTATCCAAGCCCCAACCCTAATGTAAACGCCTGTAAATATCTTCTTCATAATTATTTGTCGGATGTCCTTTTCGACTATTTTTGACTCCCTATACCCCAGTTCAACCATTGCTGTTCTCACACGTGGGTACAAGTTAACCAGCCTTTATTATTCTGTACTGTTTCTTGTTGTTGCCTGACCCTCTGGCTGTATGCAGTGGCAGATGCTGTAGACAGGTGGTGGCCCTACCTGGTAAGAGAACAGAGGGTGGTAACCTACGGAACGGTCTATCAGTCCAAGTCGTAGAATCAAGAACAATACAGATGGTATTGGTTAGATTATTCAAATTGGGTACATTTTTACTTTAGGACATGAGTTCCTAGGGGTTGACCAATATGTTTTTCCAGTGTATTTTGGTGTGTTTTTAACGAACCTGACCTTCATTTTTGGTGGAAATTACCCAGGCTGCTTCCTTTGAAAAAAATCAAATGTGATTGGTCGAAAAAAATTCGCGTGATGATATCAATACCTCATTGGTCACGACTGGATGACGTCAGTCAACATTGCGCATGCGTGATGCGCAGATAATATCTCACAGACGAAGACTGAAAACTACTTAAAATCAATTAAATTCAATTGTGTCGCTATTATCCATTTCCGCCAGGTAGATATGGGCTTCAAAATGGTCAGAATAGGGAGATCTAAATGTTTCAGTAGTTTATAACTATGTCCGAAAGTAAAATAATACCAAAAACGTATACAGTATTTTTAAAATAAGCGCTAATTGACATTTGTGGGTATGAAGAACAGACCTAACCAACCAAACCAAACAAACCTAACTAACCTTACCTAACTTCCCAGGTATATTAAACAGAAAGAACTTATTATGATACTGTATGGTGAAACTTGAGGCATTTTCTGGATGAGATGATACAGCCACATCGGTGCTATACAGCCCTGGCGGGTTAGTCCTATATATTACCCATTAATTTAGTTACTTGTCAATTGGAGTAGACTTCTCTATACAGGAATCAACAAACACTTCCTATACCATCTCATTTACTTACTCCACTATTTTCATCCACCCAGGAATTCAAATAATATAAAAAGATATACCATAGTTTATCTGGAGAAGGACAATTACACTAAACAAACCTGTAATGTCTTGATATATGAAAAACTAATCAAGAAGTGTCACAGCGGTCAGTGGTGGTCGGCCCCGGGGTGTTTACTGAGGAGGCTGCCATCTGGCGGCCGCCGCACAGCTCAGCAATCACTGTCAATGTTTTTTTTAAATGTATCAACTATTGAAAATTTATGAATCGAATACTGGAAACTAATAGAAAGGTTGGATAGATTAAAAGTATTTTGAATTACATCATGAAAGCATCTGTTACAGGGCCAAGCAAGATTTGTCCCGCGCTGGAGCTTGTTTATTGGGCACCCCATTTCATTCTGTATAAGACGAATTACAGCACCTAACCGATTAACGAGCTGATCAGCGGCAAAGAGGATAAAAGTAAAAAGTAAAAGTATTTCAGAGGCAAGAGGCAACAGGTTTCTTTTTGTCTCTGAAGATGTCTTGAATAAAGACGAAAGCTGCTGGTTCAAAATATCTTAAATAAATATTTTATAAGCTAACTTCTTATATTCAGCTTTATTATTAAAATATAGGTGGTTTATACGAATTAAATAATTTAATTTAATATAATATTAATCTTTATTCAATGTTAATCCAAGAATAACTTAAATATTTTCAGTACACAAACTTCTTGAGGTAACCCCGCGACCATACAGCAACAAGACATTTAAACCCCAGCGGGAGGAACAGGAGTCGTCGGCAGGTTGATACTTGTCTTTATCCTCCGAAACCATTTTATTAGGTAATTTTCTTCAAATTTTAGAGAGGAAGGTAATATGGAAGCAACCTTTTTTATGTTAATAATTACTAATATTTATTCAGTCAGACTTTGTTTGCTTCCTCCTGTAAGTTTTGAATCGTTCATCTTCTACAGAGAAATAATTATATTACGCCAGCATTAAGAACCTAAGAATGGAGGAAACTGCAGCGTGCCTATTGACCCATTTACACCCAACCCCTATTGCTCATATATCCACCCAACCTATATTTAAAGCTATCCAGTGTATTAGAGTTAATGATGATATTTGGTAACTTGTTCCACTCGTCCATTACTCTATTTCCAAACCAATGTTTACCTGTTTCGCTCCTCTAATATATATACACCATTAGAGGTAAAACGTGTTGATAATACCCAGTACAGTACAGAATATAGTGCAGATATGTTAACTAGGCTTACAAATTAGCAGCACTAAGGTAGTTGATGAGATTTGGTGGCCTCTGATACTTCGGAGTACGTATTGCTAATAATTTATGTTATCCTTTGTAAACGTTTATGTATATGTGCTTTTACTGTATGGATGTTTACTATATATTCAAATCAAATCAAATTCCTCTTATCCCTTTCACTCCTAAGGTGTCTGTATTGTGTTCCCTTTAGCTTAAAAAAGGCACAGGCTACAGGTCCGGCAGCTGTTTGTGGAACGCCGATGTCTATTGGTATGACAGCCTAATGTGTATGTGTGGTGGGCAGACTATACAATTATAGTTACTAAGATGGCCTTGTTTCTGACTAACGTAACCTACAAACTAACAACCTAAATATTAACAAGTCGATCAATGTGGCAGCCGTACCTTTTATCCACTACGCTAAAAAACCCTAATAGTTAAGGGTAAGGGTAAGGGTGAGGCTTGTTGAGATAGTACTGTGGTGAAAATGTTCTGGGCTTGTGTAGTTTGATCGATCAAAATATAATTGAAAGCTTGAGGCGTGCCGAGATTACCCCCCGGAGTAGAATATAAGGTTAGGTTTGGTTACCTTGTGATCGAACTGCACATGTCCAGAACATTTTCAGAATGTTTCAATCTGTGCCCTTGACACCAGGGTAACCAACTATCTAATAAAAAATATCTAGAAGAAAACCTTTTTCTTACAGCTAGGAAAACACAAACTGGGTGGAGGAATAGTTTTATTTAATAATTAGGATTTGTCTAGTTTTTCTTGTAAGGATGCACAGTGCCACACACATGAGGTGGATGACATCTTTGTTTAAAGGAGTTGGATTCCTAACGTTTCATAGACATTAATAATGCTATTCCATTTTGTACTCGCTAAGAAATACAGCAGCAGCAACTTTATATAATGGTTGGGTGCTACTATAGTGTGCATTAGTTCAGATTAAGTTAAACTAAAGATAACTTTGTAGACTGCATGCCATAGTACCACCAATTTTTGTATAGATGATGATGATTATGATAAATCATTTCTAATGTTAAGAATAATTTCCTAAAAAAGTACCAACAATAATAGGATAACGCCCTTATAAATACTGTATTCTGAAAATTGCATTGGCAATGCAGATGTCTAGCTTCAAAAATATTGTGGGAGGGTACAGTACTTACTTTGTCTTTACTTTTGAAAGGATAACAATATGTACCGGTATGTACAGTGCTTCCATTTTCAGATTTATGAAATGGGGACACCTCAGGGGAAAGGCAACTCTACACGCCTTTCACTAGATATTGCCGACTTGCCCCTCACCCCATTTGGAATGAGTCCCCGTGGCTCATCCAAGAAACTTCATACATTTCCTGCTCAGCGTGAGTAGTTGTTGCATGGATATTGTAGAATCTGTATAACACAAAAGTGTTTTCATGCATGAAAAGAAAGGTGTCATTTACATGCTTATAAATTTTTAACATACAGTAAATCTTAATGTAACGTACTGTACACTGTATAGTGGACTTCAGCTTTAATGAACACTGACCCGTTCGGACTAGGTTCATATACAGTATTACGGACTCAGGTCTGTTAAGGTAAAAAAATAACCGTCTCAGGTCCATTATGGTGGTGATGGTGAGTGTTGGTGGTAAAAAGTGACTCACGTGGTCACTTCTGACTATTTTGGTATATAACGGACCAAGTCCATTATTATTCCGGATCCGGATACAACAGACTGGCCTTCCCCCTAATTAGTCCATTATATCAGGGATTTACTGCAGTAATCGTGATTAATGTTGCTTATATTTTCCCAAAGCATTATGACACTTGTGTTTCAAATGATCTCTAAATTAGCATGTATGTGCCCATTATTCATTTTGTAACCATACATTGGGACCAAGCAACTTTTTATAGCAAAGAAATCTTGAGGGTTAAAGCCATTTAATAAAATTTAAAACTTGTAGTACCTTCTTCTTTCCTCACACAGCCAAACTGTGGAATGCTCTGCCTTCTGTGTTTCCATACTTGTACAATCTGTCTCACTTTAAAAGGTTGGTTTTCCGGCATCTTTGTGGTGTAGATTACCGGTAACACATTATAACCTTTTTCTTCTCTATTTTCAATTTCTTTCTGTTCTTATTTTTTCGCCCCCCAGGCCCCGTTGTGGGTTGTCTGACCTGTGCCCGGGTGGGCTAATTCCCGTAAAAAAAAATCTTATTCTGGAACTTATTTCTACCAATAAATGTGTAGTACTGTACTGTACTGTACACATAAACTCACCAGCTCAGCTCACTTCATAAAATGAACTCCACGAGCATGAAAATAAAGGATCCATCCAATTTAACTAGTCCTGGATAGGTAGATACAGCTAAAGCTAGGGATTTAGAGAAGGAAACAATATCTCAAAAATGACAATACAGGTACTGTACCTGTAGTGCACTGTAAATGTTTGGGCTTGAGTAACATGCAGAAAGTAGGACTTTGAATGCAAATCCACATATAAAAATATTGAATGCTATAAATCAGCAACCATCACTTAGCCATCCTAGTACCGAAACATACTGTCTCATGGATTAGTAGATCAAAATACTAACACTTGAACCATGAAACCCAACTTGAAAATAGCTGAACCCAACAAAGACAATGCTGTACAATAGAATGGAGTTCCCATGCATCACAAAATCAGCATTTTAAGAATATTCTTTGGTTTAGAGCTTAATGATATTCATTAATAACAACATTTTAGAGGAAATGGCCAATAGTAATTACAGATCCATCCTCATTTGGGAAGGGTGGGAGTCACACATCAGTTCTAGTGTCCTTTCCCACTCATCAGTATTACAGCCTCTCCCAACTCCCACTGGGGTAGTTGAAAGTTTAGAAACAGGTTGGTCTAGTTTGCCTGGTTTCTGAATTCAAATATTAGAGGATCATGGAGCGAGTATGTAGCATTGAAGTCTCTCAAGCCTTCTCCTTTTCCATGATACCTTAATGCTAAGAATTTCCTCATTTGAAATCCCACGTGAAAGTGAAGGATATATTAAGTTTTGAATTTACTCGGTATTTATATTCTAGTAACAAGTTTAAGTGCCTGAGAACCTGGCTTTTGGTCTCTGGACTTGTTAATTAACAGTTACCCTACTCCAGCTCGGTTAAAAGACAGAATTTTGGGATTAGTTCATTGTGTATCAATACTAAGAAATTTCTCCTCAAGGTGTGGCATCTCATTTATAATCCCAGTCATACTAAAGAACCCACATAATCTATCATGTACTGTATATTTAAGCTCAACACATTGTTATAGAAATTTTTTAATAAGTTTCTTTTATACAGAGTAATTATATTTCTACTCTGCTCTTTTCTCTGCTAATTACACTACTTTCTATGTACTGTACAATATATTCTATGTAAACTACCTTACTTATAAGAGTACTAAACAAAAAAAATTTATTTTATACGTTGTTTCTGGATCTTTGACATACAGTACAAATTTTTTTAAAGTTTGATGATATAATTCTTGCATAAATTTTTACTTTCTTGTTGAAGACATTAGTTTTTAAGTGTAGAATATTTTCTATGATATAAGAGAGATGTATTTTACCTTGTTACTAATTTCTAAACTGTACATTGTTGCAGGTTCCAATAAGCTTTCTCTCAAAACCCATAAACCTACCCAAGACAATAAGCAGGTTACAAGTTTAGCAAAAGAGAATAAAGAAAATAGGGATATTTCAAGTCATAGCCGGCATTTTAGGCAACAGTTTTCCAGAACGTCAATAAGAAATACTCCTTCAAATCTCCAAACTTTGCATGAAAATTGTTCAAGTGATTTTCATACAAACTCAGTTGATACACATGAGCCTCCTGCCTTAGAGAGTTCAGAGGCTACAGTGGGTCCTGGAACACTGAGTAGAGCTACAGTGCCAAACAGAATGCAGATTCAAAGAATTTGCAATAAAGAATCTGAGAGGAGAGAAAGTATTTTTACTGATATTGATGAAGATGGTAGTTTTATTGAATTTTGTTATGGTAAAGAAGAGGGGCAGCCAGTTATAAAATTGAATGAAGATCAAGGTAGAAATCCTCCTCAACTGTATTATACCTGTGAGAGCCAAAATGAAACTCAGTTTTCAACTTCAACTAAATTTAACAATGCTGAAGTTGGATTTCGAAAATATGTGGAAGCTGTTAAGAAACAGAAAGAACTTCTTAATATCATTAAGGAGAAAGAAGTGAAACTTTCCAAAGTTCCAGTAAAGAGTAAAAATTTCAATTGTGATGATACCATCATTACATGTAGTGCAAATTATGTGAAGACAAAACAGCCAAAGAATTCCATGGAAAGAGTTGTCAACAGTACAGTGATAGACAAACATCCAAGTCAGATTCAGATTTCTCGTTCTCCTGTCTTTCCAGATATATCAACACTGACAATTCCAACTGTGGTTGTATCTAGTTCAGACTCTGGCAGTCCAACACCTGGTACATCTCCGAAGTACTTGCAAAGGAGAAAATTTGGAAATGACTTTCAACCTTTAGTTGTATTAGAGAGTTCTGATGATGACTCCATAAATGAGAGAGATGTAAATGAAAGGATAGAGGATGCTGCAGGTATTATCAAATTGAAAAACATCCTTGAATACAAAAACAGGCACAGTGAAGCAAGGTTGAGTGATTATAACAAAACTTCACCACAAAAGGTGCAAAAAGAAGCACAATCACTAATAAGTGAGGATGTCAGCATAGTGACTAGTGTTTGTCCTACTAGACATCAACTTCGGAAGCCAATAATTGGAACTGAAACTGATCCAGTTGGTAGTGATTGTGCTAATTCAGTAAAAGAGTTTGAACATTCACCAGTCAAGGATTGTAATGAACACCAGATGTGTGAAGATGAATGTGATGCAGAGGATGATACAAATTATGATGCTGACTGTGAAGAATTTAAAGCAACTGGTTCACCAGCACCAGAGAAATATATTGAGGTAACACCAGACACTGCAAAGAATCCAGCAGTTGCAAAATGGATTATTACAAGTCCTTTTAAAGAGAGTTCTTTTGGATCAAGCTTTTTACAAAAAACAGTAAGCTTTAATGTTAGTGGATCTCCCAGTCAGACCAATTTGCAAACTACAGATATCATCAATTCTAGCATAACCAGTGAGAACAGCTTTGGTAATGCAATCTTAGGGAATATCAAGAAATCAAAGAAAACTTTTTCAGTCAGTAAAGCCATGAAGTCTCCACTTTTTATACATAACAGGCACAGGGATTCTGGTAGCAGTGATTCAGAAGTTTTTGTGAAGATCAAAAGATCTGGCATACCTTCAAGAGTAGTTGATTCAACTTCTGAAGATTCAAGTGATGATAGCAGAAGAAGAGCATCTAAACCAAAAAGAAAACTGAATTCATTTATGAAAAAAACAGCAAGTTTGTCTCTGGCAGATAACATTGATGAATCACTTGAAGAGTCTCTCCATTTGAGACTTTCAGAGGGATTAAGTAAATCCTATAAAACAATGGAGAAAACATCTTGTACCATTGGGAGAGATGCCACGTCTCCTAACACAGTAAGGAAAAGTTATAACCATGGTCCTGTCAGTGAAAACTTGGGTGAATCTGTTAAAGTGCAAAAATCCAGGAATGTTATGAGGATTATTGATTCTGATGATCACATATCATCTGATTCTCTTCCTGATCTAGAAATTAACCTGGAAAATCAAGATTGCAAGTTAGGTCCTAAGGCATCAATGCCCTCTATGCTCAAAACAAACTCACAAAACAGTGATAGTAAGAGTAGTGGTTCTCTAGATTTAAGAAGGATACAGGATGAATTGGATCATATATACAGTTCTGATTGGAGAAAAAATGAGTGTGCTGTAATGAAAAATTTTATTAGAGAAGTTGAGAAAAGTTCAGTAACAAAAAGGAAAGTAGTTGAAAACACAGTGGGAGGCACAACCAGTAAAACAACTGAACCAATGAGACGAAAGGAAGAAATTCAAAGAACACTCTGCTTTGAAACTGACGATGAAGAAACGGACGAGGAAAATAACACTGATCAAGAAAGTGAGGCTTTAGAAGATGGTGACACAGGTAAAGAATATGATGAAACTAAAAATGGTGTACCTGGCTTACCAAAGAGAAAAAATAAGGCTGCGGATGACAGTTTTGAAATTTACCTGCAGAAAGTAAAGAGCCAAACAGAAAAAGATAAAAAACTTTGTGACGTTGTCCACAAACATCAGGATCAGTATGAATCAAGCTTTATTAATGATGAAAGTGAGGAAGATATTAGCTACACTCTCCCTCCTCTGACACAGAGGGCCAAGAAATTTGTTAGACCTGGTTACATTGTGAATTCTAACTCCTGTGGTAGTATCTCAGAAGATCTTAGATCACTTAAAATATTTGAAGAGCCTAAGAAAACTGTCTCAAGTGCTACAAGCTCCTCATCATGGCGTGATTCTCCTACCATTGCCATTTCTTCCAATTCTGATTCTGATGAAGTTTTTTCTCTCACTGAAGTTAAAAAGAAACTGCCGCAGCCTTCCTTAACTCTTATTACTCCAAAGCCAAAGGGCCGTAGTAAGATATTTCCTAAAACAGAAGGGCATTGTCAACAGCTGTCTAGAAGGTATGAAACAAGTGGTGCTAATAATGCCACTCCTACATTATCATTCCTGGCATCACTCTCTACAAATGTCCATACTGGTCGGTGTCACCCAGAAGCCTTTGGATATACAAAGAATTTTAAGAAGCAGAAGGAGGAGCTCTCAGAGAAATTATACAAATATTACAATACTCATGTTTTTGAAGGTAAACTTCCTTCATCTATGAGTATTAAGTGGAATGCACGAATGACCAAGACAGCAGGCTTTTGTTATTATCAGATAGATCGATCAAAAGCTGGAAGAGGAACCCGAATTGAGCTTTCTACTAAGGTAAGTTGTTTATAGTTTCAAATATATTTGCCTTTTATGATAGGTTGTCTTTAAAGTTGTTTTATCCTGTAATTACTAGTCAATTAAATATCCAGTTATGGAAGGGTAAGGGGGATAGGTTGTGGGCACTACTGAGATCATATATGTGGTCATTCTTATCCCATACTGTACTGTATTGCAACTGATGCATAGTATCATTTGTATAATAAAACACATAATAAAAAAAAAGATTCTCTAATCAATGATATATAGGCTACCTCATCAGTTATTCTCTCTCTACAATGAGGTCTTACACTACTATTGTCTTAAATATTTAGTATTGGTCTAGTTTAGCAGTATTAATACACAGATTAAACCAGTGATTTTCTACATATGCTATTTGGGTCCCTCTTTCATCCATTTTGACATGGCCTTCAGCCCTTAAATCACACCGAATTTGAATTTTATATTTCGTAAGGCTCACAAATGTCATAGTACCTGTATTCATATACCTTTCCCTACAGATATTGAAAACAAAGGCATAAAGAGACAGATTCACAGCTACTTTGTCACAGATGGTTGGGCTTGGTTTGGGCAACCAAACAATCAATTTCAAAGTTAAATCCAAGAATATTCAAAAGGGGTAGAGGGATTCACAAACTTAAAGGGCACCTAATGTATGGCTGAAAGAGCTCTTAATAGGTTTTTATTGCCTGTCAAAATTAATGTATAGGAGAAGAATGTAAAAACAAGAGAGCTGAGCACAAATGGTCAGGTCGTCTTTTTATTAGTTTGGGCTACATGCAGCCTTAGATGCTTATCTCTAGCCACGCTGATACACTAAAACATACACAACTTGCTTGTTTTTGCATATTCTGTACAGTAATACCTCAATACATTTGATTAATTGGGGTAGACCCCAGTCTGGAAAAAGTGAAAGTCAAATAATAGTATATTTACTCAGTAGGTCTTTTAAGAAATAATTTAATTTAGTTTTGAATTTTTATGAGTGTACGTCCTGTACTTTATGGTTTATATTATTATTGCACAGGTAATTGATGCTCCTGAAAGGTTGCGTGACACCCTCATTCATGAGCTGTGCCACGCTGCTGCCTGGATCATCTCAGGATATAAGGATGGTCATGGACCACTCTGGAAAGCTTGGTAGGAATGGCTGGTTGTTTCTAAAGTATATAATTTTTCTTTTACTTCTCTTTGGGTGAAAATTTGGGGGACATAACATAGATGTTGTTTGTGTTTGTTTGTATTTCCCATCATGTGTCAAAGTTGGTTTGTACTGTACTTGATTTTGGTGTTAAAGAGTATTACTGAATATTAAGTTTCATGCTTGAGATTCCATGGAGTTATTTATCCTTGTGTTTGTCTCAGAAATACACACCAGAATTATGAAACGTATTTCCAAAACACCCTGTACAGTATACTGCTGCTGATATAAAGGTGTAGAACAGTAAGATGGTTAACCCCTTCAGTATGATGTGTTTTTCCTGAGTACTATATTACACTGAATCTGCCCATTGAGTAAGACAACTTAACCATTGAGTATAATATAATTATAATCCCTATGTATGATGTCTTATCCCTTTGGATACAATGGCTAGTTCCCTCTAATACAATACCTGTAACACTTTTACTCTGATTAAGTCATCGTACCCAAGGAATTAATATACTGTAGCCCTAAAAGTAAAGATAGTAAAATATACTGTAACCTTATTTAAATGGTTTACCACACAGGGCAGCAAAAGCAATGCACACCTTCCCAGAACTTCCTAGAATCAGTAGATGCCACTCATATGAGATCACCTGCAAGTATACGTACAGATGCACCCGCTGCAAATACAGGTATGATTTTTCCAAGTGAATATACATTGCAGTTTTGATAATGCACAAACAAGTTCATATTTATAATGTAAATTTAATTATTACATCCTCATCTTTGTTTAAATCCTCTTTGTGCATTACCTGAACTATTTTATATTGTACTTTTATTATTTCTATTACAGTTAAGCTAGCAAAGACCTTTTGCATAAAAAATATTATTTCTGGATAAAGGAAGTAATGCATGTGTATTCCGTTATAAGCTGAAAAATTAGGCATCATTGGTCGTAATTTTTTCTATGGCTTATGGGTTGTTAGACGAGTCATCTCCACCAGAATACAACATAGAAGAATATACCTTTTCTGGGGAGCAATCTGAATTCTAAAGTCATGGACATTGTCCTGTTAGATTAGTGATAATTATTGCTTGAATGGCTAATTACACTTGAACTGGTGTTAGCAAGACAGAACCTCAATCCTAATTTAGTGGTTACTTTGAAAAGTCACTGGTTTTTTTTCACGTTGACAGTATAAATTCTTTCTTTTTTTCTTTAAAGGCCAGTTGTGGTGTGTGGTCAATCTTACCATTTTGTTTTAAATACATGAGCAAATGTTACTGTATTCTTTGTGTATGATCCTGGTGGATGCTTGATGGGATGTCATTTGTGAGCCTGATATATCCCAAAGTGTACTTCTCACCCAGGGTGTTAGAGTGGTTCACTTGTTCCACAATATACTGTACTTCATCCCTTTCTTAGGTGATTTGGAATATGCAGGTCCCTTATTGAGACCCACAGATCATACATCCAGTATTGAAGTTTGAAGTTCAATTTTATGGGCAAGGGTAAGATATGAGTGACCTCGAATCCTTATTTTCTCCTGTGAGGAATTTGAGTCAAGATGAACTGGTTCCATCAGTCATACCCAGTATACCCTGAGGCTCACTGGTTTTTGAAGTAACCGCTGGCTTTGAGTTGAGGTCCTACCTTGCTAATCATGGTATAGTTGGGTAATTAACTGTTTATACATCAGTTAACCTTTGTTTCATTAGGGGAGTGTCCCTGCCTCTATAGCACAGTTTGTCATTTGCCGATGTTACTAAAAATCGATTAAAAATATTAGGATTCCAGTTCCTGTATGGGTAAAAAATCTCAAAAGAAATATAGAGTTCATATGCTGACGGCTGTATTTTGTTCTATGTGTTTTAACGAGCAAGATTGTCGTAGTGGTTATTTGAATTTATTATTGAGGGTAACAGCTCTTTGTTTGTCCTCTACACCATTATCACGTGGTCACCCAGAATTGTCCACAACTGTGATGTTAATGATGAACTGTGATATGCAAGTAGATCCTAGACATGGCAAGTTTTTCATGTTTTCAGCTGACAGTATTTGGTATCCTAAACCTAACACTGAATGAGTTAAGAGAATGATGTTTTCAGATAGGGAGTACAGTATTTGTAACCCAGATAATACAATTGTTTGAGAATTCTTTAATTATGATACAGTACGAAGATAAAATATGTATCTATAATCTGTTCACTTGAACTATACAACTGGGGCCTAGGGTCAGTTGTAGCAAGGCAACTTACTGGCTGGCAGACAGACTCCAGAAAAGGTACAACAGTTCATTAGTTCCGATATTTACTTCATTGTATTTATTCTGTGTTGATCTCTGATAATTTCTACACTTGGGCAAGCAAAAATTAGCTTGTTAAACACTCTGATAACATAATACCTTGACAAGAACATGAACATGATGAACAAGTTGAAACGTAACTCCTTGCTGCATGACGTCATGCACGTTGCTGAAATTATGTAGTCTTTTTCTTGTTTTCTTCAAGATATTTATGTTATCAGAGCATTAAGCAAGCTAATTTTTGCTTGCCCAAGTGCATAAATTATCAGAGATCAACACAGAATAGTTATTATCCCTTAAAATATCAGAACATAAATACAATAGACTAAATACTAAAGAACTGTCTGGCAACCAATCAGTTGCCTTGCTACAAAATGACCCAAGGCCTCAGTTGTAGGGTTCAAGCGAACAGACAATAGGTATCCATATAATGTATAACAGGTGTTCCAGATACACCTTTAAAAAAAGTAGTAGTACTTTATGTTTTGTTATATTTTTCACTTCAGTATGTTATTTAAGTACAGTAGTAATAATTATCAGCTTTGCAGTATAGTTTAATTGTAACTACTATATACTACATGTAATTGTTAGTTATTAAGATGGATTGAAACTTATTTTTAAATTTGCACTTCCTCAGCATTGGACGTCATTCTAAGAGCTTAGACATAGAAAAGAAAGTTTGTGGTTACTGCTATGGGAGATTTGAGCTGGTCATTAATTCACAACGAGGACACGCAAAAAGTGGACTTGACACACCTGCTGGGAAGCCTCCTAAAACACCTAGAACACCAGGGGCCTTTGCTATATTTGTGAAGGAGAATTATGGATCTGTAAAGAAGTCTCGACAGAATATAAAACACGCAGATGTTATGAAGGTTTTAAGTGAAGAATTTGGAAAGATGAAAGCTAACAATAAGTAAAAAAGATTATTTGATAAGTTATCAGTATCTATAACAGCTATAGCTAATTAGAGTAGAACTCAGATTGAAAAATTCTTTACTAGAATCATTAAATTATTATTATTTTAATTACCTCTGATTATGTATAGCTTAATTATTGTTTTACACCTATGTTAAGCCTTTAAAGCAGACTTTTCATGTCCTTTTGAGTGAGTAAATGAACACACAAATACTTAGATGTTGGCAAGTTACTCTGATTTGATGCCAGTGAAGCTGTCAAGTATGTACTGTACATCATAACAAGATAAAACAATAAAATAACTGTGTCAGGAATCCTAATAGTAATTACTAATTAGTAACTCCACCAGCTTGTAAAACCCAACTGATACTTTAGTTGCTTTAACTTTCCCTAAAAATGAGGCATATGCTCGTATCCAAAACGCTTGGGGCTGAAAGGGTCTAGGATTTCAGATATTTTCGGATTGTGGAATACTGTACTTATATCCTGTTACATTACCTCTATGATGTTGTGGGGATGGGGCCCAATTCTATATCTTGTGTGATATTTTTTATAATTTTGTGTATGACGTACATGATAAAATGTATACAGTAGTACCCCGATTTACGCGGTCAATTGAACCCACAGGGTACCGCGGAAAGTGAAATCCGCGTAAATGGAACAACAGAACATATGGGATTAATTCCAATAGAGACTGGCCCGACCCCCAAACTCCACTTTTTGACGACACACAACTATGTTGTAGTAAAAATTTTATCTTAACTTTATGATGGTATGCACAAACTAGTAATATAGAAGAGGTTAGGTTAGGAAAAATAGAGGTTAAGTTAGGAAAAATAAAGGTTAGGTTAGGAAAACTAAAAGTTAGGTGTAACACTTATGTTAGTAGAAGAGATGGGTCGGCATACGGGGATGGAGGCTGGTTCCGAGGCAGAGGGCAGATTACTGGCCCTCAGGTGAATCACCATTACTAGGTGCATCACCATCACTATCAGTTACAGTTGTCAGGGCTTCCCTGATAAATCCCTCAAAGTCACCTTCACTGTCACTATCACTGGCTGTGGTGGGTTGCGGGCGAAGAACTCGGGAATGCTTTTTTGACGGCTAGTGTTGATGTTGTCTTGATACACCTTGATGTACGGCTCCATAGCCTGCACCAGCCGGGTATGGAAGACTTCGTAGCGATCATCGTCATTGTCGTTGGAAAGGAAGAGCTTCAATTTTTCTGCACACACGATGGCACCCTTAATATGACTATGCGTTAACTTGTGTTCTTCGGAGATTGACGCACCATCTTCCTCTTCACTGACGTGATCATCTTCCAACATCTCGTCGGCAGTCATTTCAGGATCTCTGATCACCTCCAGGATGTCTTCATTGGTGGTCTCGGAGAAGCCTTCAGCTGTAATACTGTGCGCAGCTTCTCTTGCAAGGTCCAATGCCACTGTCACAGACTGAACCTCACCAGTCACAGGTTGACTCCTCCTCTCACCTGGTATGCCATGCGTGACGAATCGTAGCAATAGACAGCTGATCCCATGCCTCCACCAAGAAATCTACAGCTTGTTTGACGTTAAATTTCTTCCAAAACTGTTTGACGAGAACTTCTTGAATCACCACCTCTTGTTCCTTGTCCTCGTCGCTTTTACTCTCGCTGTCGGTGTCACCCAGCTTACGCAACTCATCCTTGGTGTTGGTAGAGTCGTTCAGGAGCTTGAATTTCTTTGCCGAGTATGCAGCTTTAACATTGCAGATTAACTCCTGGTCCATGGGCTGGATTAATGACGTAGTGTTGGGAGGAAGGAAGACCACTTTTACGTTGGGGTGACGATCCATAAGTAGGGGCGAGTGTCCTGGTGCGTTGTCAAGGAGCAACAAAATGTTGAATGGAACATTCTGTTGCTCGCAGAATTTCTTGACGTCTGGAACGAAACAGTCGTCAAACCAGGAGAGGGACAGCAGAGAACATCCACGCCTTACGTGCGGTTAGCCAGTGGACATTAAGCTTGTTCATGTCCATATTCTTGTAGGCGTGCGGGCTGTGTGAATCACCGATAACTTTGGTTTACAGGTACTGGAGGCATTGGTGGTAAAGAGGACGGTGATGCGCTCCTTCTGCAACTTCCGACCCCGAACCTTGCTGGCAGACTGGACAATGAAGGTCTTGGTAGGCAGCTTTTTCCAAACAAGGCTGGATTCGTCCATGTTGAACACCTGGTCGTCAGTGAACTGCCCTTCCTCCATAACCTCACGTAAGAACGGAGGAAAATCTCTAGCCGCCACACGGTCAGCACTTGCTTCTTCACCACCAATGTTGATGTTGGTGATTTTGTTCCTCTTCTTAAACCTATGCAGCCAACCAGAGGAAGCATTGAAGGGTTTGGGCTCTGCAATTCCCATCTTACGTGACACTGCTGCGTACAGTTCACGTGCGTACTCTTGAACGGATCGCGTGTCCACCGCCATGTTGCGTCGCGCCTGACGAATCAAGTAACTCGCCAGCAAATTTTCCAACTTTAGCAGCACCTTGTTCTGGGAATACTTGATCATTGAAGCACCTGCAGACTTTGTGATTGTCATGTGCTCTTTGATCTTGGCTGCATCCTTCTTAATAGTACGAATCGTAGATTCGTTCACTCCATGCTGGCGCGCGAGATCAGCTTGACGTGTTCCTTTCTCCAAATCTTGAACGATCTGGTATTTCACCTCGTAGCTTAGGGAACGGCGTATCTTCTTTGGCTTAGGGCGGCTGGGTCCAGGTAAGGAAAGGTTTCTCTATGGTGGCGGTGGTCCGGCGGAAGCCATTTCACAGAACAATGGATGCATATATACACGGTGTGGCCTTGAGGGATGAAACTGCCGCGGCTAGGTCAAGCATCGTCTTTCCTCCCTCCCTCCCTCCCCGGGTGGACACGTCATATTACTTTAAACCAATTACAGCTAGCAGCAGAGGGGGGTAGGGTTGCATGGCCAATCACAGTCCGATACGTCATATGACGTCAGTGATAACGCAACAGAGACATGCACTGCGCAACCTTACTGCGCGGCTTGCCCAGGCGGAGGCGGGAGGAGCGAATCTAAAAATAGCGTCGAGCCGGACACTCTGCGCGTATATGGGTAGATGAACCGCGTAAAGTGAAAGTTCGGTTCTGGCGAGGCACCGCGTATATGAGAAATCGCGTAAAGTGAAACCGCGTAAAGCGGGGTAATACTGTACTGAAAAATCAGAAAGGTAAGCAATCACTACTGTCTGTTCAGCATCGCCATGATACCTGACTCCCGGGTGCTAAGTAACATGTGTCCTACCTTTGTTCATTACATATACTGTACATACTTAACCTATTAAAGATTGCAATCTATGCCATATTCAGTGTATTCTCTTCCATAAATATAATGAAACTGATTTGAGCAATACTGTACTGTACAAGTATACGTAATCAAGCTAAAAAAAAACTTGGATTTCAGAGCATTTCAGATTTGAGACACACAACCTGTACAGGATACTATTTAATCTATATTATGCTATTTTATATGTATTTGAGTCAAATTTAATTCAATGTCCAATATGGGCATTGTTTAGTGAAGGAATAGGCACCTCAGTTAGGCTTTGACAAGCATTATCTGTGGCCATGGAACCTAAGCCCCTATTTCCCATAAGCCTTAGTCTTGCTAACTGCGAATTTGCCAACCACAGGGTTTTTCAGGAACCTATCCCCCACGGTTGGCGAGGGACTACTGTATACACAGGCTGTTCTGTATACAGTTGTTCTCAAGCACCACTTCACAACTTTTACTTATTAATCAAGCTATATGAGGCACATTTTTTTTTTACTTATTTTGTACTCCATTTTCTTGTAACAGGGTTGTCTCACTCTCATCTTCATCAGTGTTATTCTAATATTTCTTTCACTTTATCACTTAATTCGTCAATTAATGCTTGGGCTTCTTTTGGTGTATTTTATTTAAAATTCCTGGCTCGCTTTCATTGTGGTACAGTACTGTATATGCATCTACAGTGATGACAAACTCAGTACTGAGGCTTTGAGGGCGCATTCAGTGTTTACAGGAACTGGCCAATATGTATGAGGAAGCAGCCATTGTCTATTAATAATTCAAACCATGATACTAAAGATCGACCATGACCATGATTTAGAGAGATTGCACCATTTAAACTACATTTTTCCTCTAATAACTGGCATTGACTCCTTTTACTACTACAATTGAAATTTTTTGAGGGGTTAATCACTAAATGGAAGGGTTCCATTCCTGAAAATGTTTCCCTAACACGAAACCATTTTCCCATATACAGGTACTTCCATAATAAAAGTCGAGATGCATTCCCAAAAACGTGACACAAGCACATATATGTATGAAATTAGACGGTTTTAACCACATACAATGACTCATGGTGTAACATGATAATAAATGAACAAAATACTCGAATGTTACGTACCAGAAACGATATTGAGTGCAGCAGGAGTGGGTGGGATTAGAGTTACTAGGAGTTACCTCCTTAAAACATCACCACTGCTTTCACCTGAACTTGATGGTCTTTCTTCATTCATCTTGAATAAGGGTAATCAGTAGCACAGACACATAACTGAAAACAAGCTGGGGAAAGAATTCAAACTGAGCAGTGCCATTGTTGTTGTGGGTGTGCTATCAGCTGATGAGGTGAGCTGTGACAGCCGTCTAGTAGCTACCACCAGAATCTACACAAAATAATTTTTTTAATTTCTGTTAAATTTTTGGTTCTAAACAGTATTGTGATTTTTTCTTTTGAAAATCTTAACAAATTACACCATAAAGTCGTAAGGGTAAATGAAGTCCTGAACACAAGCTGGGGAAATAATTCTAACTGAGTAGTGCCATTGTTGTGGTGGTTGCTGGCAACTAGGGAGGTTAGTAGCATTCCAACTGCCTTGTGGCTACCGCAGAGAATCCAAATGAAACAAGTTTTACAAATTCCGCAAGTTTTTTTTCCGTAACCTTTAATTATGGTCAATTTCAAAATTCCGGAACCAGATATTCCATAACGTGAGGGATGCATGTATTATTTTTTAACTTTAATTTCAGAATTACAAGTGATGGGAATTTTGGAATAGCAATTTCCACATTTACATTTGGTGGTAGAGCTGCAGATCTCGTGGTAATACAGTAGGTAAGAGTAAAAATACGAGACCTTACTCTATTGCAGCTAATAAAATACCACATACGTATATACCATTAAAATCTGGAACAAATTAATTATGACAGCTGTTTACTTAAAATAATTGTAGTAGTCTATGCACTAATTCATTGGAATCTCCAGGTACAGGTGTAAGTTTTTCACAAAAGGATTATAAAATTTACAACATTATTATGGCGTCTGATGATGTTGTAGTACGCCTAGATACATGTTATAACCCGAGGCCATCGTAAATGCATGGCAAAAACAGTCCCAACTTAATTGTTCTTGCATATTGGCACTAGACACAACACAGTTAGGTTTCGATGGCCAAAATAAACTAAGATGTAACAAGTCAAAGAAGGGTCGTTTAGCTTGTGCAGTAGATGGTAATCGGAGAAATCATTTGGACACGTGGGCATCTAAGAGAAAGTTCCGTCATGATGATTGTACTGTAAGCCTTGAGATGCACAAATTAA